ATGAAGTCTCTGCAGCAGGCAAACCAAATGTAACAAACGGCTTTTGAGGGATTTGCATGGAAAAAAAGCTTGTTAAAAAGTTAACTTGTCTCAGCTGCATTTATTTTAAACATTAGCATTAGTGCTATTACCCCACAGGTCAGTTTCCCACATACAGCACGCTAATTGTGTAGTTGTAAATACAAATGAGAAGAAATTTCTTCTGATGGTGAGTGTAATCCAACACACAAGTTTTTTGCTACAAGAAACATCATTTACCATCACAGAAGTTTGTTACAATAGATGAGCCTAAGATACGAAGCTGGGATCCAGACCCATTTTCTTATACTTTTGGAGAAGTGTAAAGTCAGTGTCTTTGGTTGAGGTCCGTCTCTAGATGTACATGGAATACTGATAAATCATTTTTCATTTTACTTTACAGAACAGCAGTGATCTTGAAGGCAGTGATGGTTCTGATGGTGATTCTGACTGAGCCAGTAAGTTGCTGAATGTGGGACCCTTGGTGCTTGCAGTTCCCTGTGTCTACAAAGAAGTGGCCTTTCTAAATCCAAGAATCCAGTCAAGCAGGGGTTTGTGTGCTTGCAGATGAGAACCAGATGCCCCAGGGAAACCCGGTGGGGAAGGCAGTACAGTAGGAAAAGTAAAAGAAGCTTTTTATACCACTGACTGATATACTTGAAAATAGTATAAAGAGAAAGCAGCGTTCTAACAGAGTCTTGCACTGCAGGATGTCAATTGCTGTTTGAATAATGTTTTTATTATATGTTTACCTGGAAGATAGTATTTTAAATATGTATAACCTCTACATAAAGATGGGGCAAATAGTTTTAAAATACTTTTTTTTGTTATTATTACGGTGTTATGACTCCATGAACTTTTGCTTATTTTTTATTACTTTCTTTACCTTTACTTAACCTCATCTCTAAATATCATTAAGCTTTTATTTTCCATGTCTTCCATGACTTTCCGGTGGAATAACATGCACAGTTAGAAACTCATTTATCATGCTGTCTGCTGTGAGTTCTGTTAGTATTGAAACAAGCTTTCTGCATCCTCTAAAGCTTTGCAAGTCTGAAAGAAATGATTCCTTAGTGACAGATCTTAATTTTGGAACATGGATTGAACCATGTATTTCAAGATGAGACCTTGTCTTTGGGAGATCCTCCCACTATTGTCCATGTGCTTGGGCAGACTCAAGAATATAGGTCCACAGCTGTGTGTTTCACACACCTATAGTTGAGACGAGAAGAGATGATGTATGTTAAGACTGCAATTCAGAGTGTGCAGCCATGGATGTTCTGGTATTGCCTATGGTAGATCACTATGGTGATCACTGCTGGTTTAGTATTTCTGGTTTTAGTGGAAACTATCCAGTCATCTGCTAGACTTGGGGTTGAATCGACTTGGTATGTGTGAAAGGAATGGTGCTGCCTGCTTTCATTCTGTGTGTGTGAACTCTTAATTCCTTTCAAGCTGCTCAGAATGTGTGCAATGAAATGGGAAACTGTCTTCCTTTGGGAATAAGATGTAATTGTCTGTGGTTTGGGGTTCTGTGTACTCTGGAGTTCTTGCTTTCCTGTCCCCACTGTGGTTTCACTTGTGGTTTACAGCTCTCTGTGGAGGTAGTAGAAGAAAAAACAAGTTAAGGCAGCAGCCCTCCTGCCCTGCCTGCCTATAGAACACTTTTGGAAGGGGTGGAACAAGACTCCCTAAGCATTTGGGTATTACTACAAGCACTTGATACACTTCCCTAGCTGGGTCTGTATTGTTACTGAAAATGAGTGGTCATTCAGTGGTTCCTGCCCAAAGCCTCCATTCTATGGCTCATTCTGGAATTTATGTTTTGACCTGCCAAGGCACAGGTGACCTTTGAAAAGGAATTCATTTGTTTGTTTTATGTGGGTTTTAATTAGAGCTTTTTATTTTATCTTGACGGCCTATCTCTGTTTTATAAGAGCAGTGTGTGAAAGTGTTCTTTTACCTAGATTTTTCATCTCTGTCTCATGCTGCTTCATACCATTGACCTAATCTGGCATTAGTCTTCTATCCAAAGCTCTTTATATCCCTTTCAATCTGACAAACACCCCCACCCTTACTTGCTTATAATAAAGGGCCCCAAACGGACATGTATCTCAGATGAAATCAGCAAAAACTTTATTTATAGCCTTTGGAGAAAAAAAATAGTAATAATAATTAGAAAGGGTATTTCTTACCTCTTAGTATGTGCTGGTTTATTTCAAGGGGATTATTTGGTATTTCAACTCCAGTTTTGGACCAGGAGCTCGATAAAATACTTCACCACCACCACTGTACAGAAGTGGTCTAAATTCTAAAGGGGATGCTCTGAAAGCTCTCGGCATGGGCAGTGTTCAGGGGCAGAGAACAGCCGAAGCGCTGCGCAGGACCCTGCAGCTCGCTGTGGTGGGCAGCGGCCTGAAAGGCCCGGGTGCCTCCCGCACAGCCCCTGCCAGGGGCTTGCACACGGACCTACCCCGCTTGTGGCTCTGGGATGCGGCTGTGAGCTTCCTGAGGGGAAAGGAAAGGGATTCCCCCAGGGACACGGGGACTCCGCCACTGCCTGAGACCCACTTGACCTCTCCATGCGGAACGGAACGAACCACCTCCGCGCCCCTCCCGGCTGCGCGCATGCGCCCAGCGCGGCGCCGCACCCCTGTGCGGGTGGGATGCCCCCCCCTCAGGTGAGACTGGGATGGTACCGCTCAGCGCGGCGGGGCCGGGGGAGTGCCGGGGCGGGAACGGGACCGGGACCGGGAACGGGACACGGACGCCGGGAGCTGCCGCAGGCGGGGCCTGGGTGTGTGCTGAGGCGCGAACGGGACCCCGAGGCGTGCGACGGGCATGGTGCGGCGGCCGGTGTGTGCCGAGGCGGTCAGTAAACTGCATCTTCCCCCCTGAGTACCGCAGCCCTCGTGGCGGGGGCAGGCTCAGCCCGGAGCCTGTCAGGACGCTCCTGACAGGAAGGCTGCAGGGAGCGGGTCTGCGGCACCGAGCAGAGGAGGTTTGGTACCGCGTTGTCCTTGTACATCCCGATAACTTTATCTTCGCGCTGGAGCTTCTTCCCAGCCTGGCCTGGCGGTACCGCGTTCTCAAGGCAGCGTTTAAACCCTGCCTGGGTTTATATTAATTACAAATACAATGTGTTCATACCTGGCTGTAATGTACTTATAAATCATGCTGCCCCTCAGACGACAGTGTTTTATGAAATGAGAGGTCAGGGAATTGCTTCCAGCTTCCATCATCTCTAGAGTACGGCTGCGTGTGAGAGGACTGTCCTCCCTCAGTCTCAACATCAGCATCTATGGGCTGGAGGAAGCCTGAAGCATTTGTTGACCGTCCCTTCCAAGTACCTATGTACCCAGCCAAGCCTCACTATGTGCTGCAGGAATCCTCCATCTCTGACTGATAGAAGCAAAGTAACTGGATAAATCTACTGGAATGGTAAAGGATTCAAGTGGTTAAACTGAGTTAAAAGGTTGATGACCGTTAAGATGGGTTCTCTTTCTAAAAAGTTGGGCAAGAAGCAATTCTGGGAGCATAAAAAAAGTTTTGTAGCAAAATAAAGAGTGAATTCAAAGGTAAATGTGGATAGAGCTTTGGAAGTGATAGACTGATGCACTATTGTATTGATAACAAGCTACTTTATTAGGTTAACTTTATTTTAGTTCCAAAACAGTACTTCATGTAGGGACTCATAATTAGCCTTGATAACAGCTTTAAAAAAGTTGTCACAACTCTTAAAGTAATGCTGATACATCTAGAACTAATGTTACTCATTTATGATAGAGTATGTATGATTAAGTGTAAGTTTTAAGCTTTGTAATTAAAGATAATTGCTTTAATAAGCTTTTCTGTACATGTAGCATTATATCTAACAGCAATTATTACATCATTAAAAAACCCTGTGGAGAATATATTAGAAATCTTAGTGAGCACTGCACATCTTGTTTTCATGCACTGGGCTCAAGTTTGCACCCTCTGTGCCTAATTTGTTGTTTAATTAATGTTGTTGCATGAAACTTTTCCTTTTTGGTCATTTGATGCCCTGATGGATGTTGGTTGCCCTGCTGGCACCTCTCTGGAGGATGTTGATAGAAATAATCTTTGTGTTGTTAAGTTAAAGAGCTGGTAAGTACGTTCTAGACAATCGACATGCTGATTGATTTGCATCTTTATGGCTTTTAGGTGTGCAGTTTTACTGTGGTATGGAAGAAAGTTGATTTGACCAGCTATGTAACAGTCTGTATTGACAATTTCTTTGGTTCTTTTTGATATTCTACTATTTTAATTACTGAAATTATAAGTGTTAAAAGTTTCTCTATAGGTGGGATGACTTCTGTTCCTCAAGTGGCTCAACAGATTAGCCAGGAGCAAAATCAACAGCAAAATGGGCAAAACTTGTCAAGTTTGCATAATTCCTTACCTGTTCCACACAGTGGGAGCCCAGCTTTTCTTCAGCAGGTACAACGAGCAGGCTATGACTTTGGTCCCAACTCCAGTTCCTGTAAAAAAAAAAAAGTATCAGGTTTGCATATTATATTGTACGTGGCTTTGAACATCTGGTTTTTATGTGTTGTCATTGCTGTTGTCTATTCTGTACCATTAAATAGTCTGTCTGAATACTGGGAAGAGAGTATCCTCAGAAACAGTAACATCTGTCTCATTAAGAAAGTCTAGACAAGATTAATTTTTGTCACTTTTACTGCTAGTTTCCCCTGAAATTCTAGTTCTGTGAACATCTCTGTTCATTTATGTCATTTGCTCAGCTCACGTGGTGAATGTTATCTGGAGGTAAATATAGCTTCATGAATAATTTCAGGCCTTATATGTCATGAAGGAGAGTGCTTCGCTAATCCTAGTTGGTGCAGCTGGCTCGCTGCAGACATTTGAGTTTTGATGTGAGGTATTCTCAGGCAGCTCTCGCTTGTTATCTGATGACTTCTATTCATGGTCAGTTTTGTACACTTATGTTTTTCTTCGAGTGCTCTGCATCGTAGCCATACTTGATGTCTGACTTACTATTGAAGAATTGTTTAGTAATTCATAGCTACATTTGAGCTGAATATGTTCATGTTTGTCATTTCCTTCTGCTGTTCTCCTCCACCCCTCTGTCCATTTTAGGTGGTAGCTTTAAAACTGCAAGTACCGTTAGAAGAAATGAAGAAGACAGCATGAAACTCACAGAACATGTCAAAAACAGGTAATAAGGACTTTGACATTTTTTTTTCCTTTTGCGTACTGGTAGTATAAGCCTACCAAAATGAATGTTTAGGAGCTATTATTTTGATCTGAGTTTTGAGTCATAAATATCTCCTTTCTCTAGCTTGCTAACTTCCTGTAGCTTACTAAAGCTTCTATAAAGACTTTTTGTTGCTGAGCTCTTGTTTGTATCTGGGTTAGTTTTATGTCCCTTCTGAGCCACGTGTAAGACTGAATTCATGTGTGCACCTGTGTCCCTCTGCAGATTGCCCTCTTTATGTAGGTTTTTGCCCTTTTTACTGTAAGATTTTACAAATGTATAATATTCTTTAGGGTAGAATTCATATGTTCTTTAGATGCTGGATTAACTGTAAATAGCATCAAACCTGTGAATGAATGATTCATCTTGGATATGGCAGCACTATGATTTTTATTGTTTTGTACAGAAATAAGAGACTGATTAAGAAAGAGAACCTTCAGAAGGAAGTGGTACTTCCAGAACTTCTCACATTCACTGTAGAGAAATACGTGCCAGATTTAGCAGATGTTGCTGATGCTGCAGAAGTGCTGTTACCCAGAAGCAGTGCTCAGATCATGCCAGTCTTAGAGACTGTGAAAGACTGGACTGGAGTAGTTGGCAAAGCTGTATAAGATAAATCTCAATGGCATTCTGGCTGATGAACCTGGACTTGGAAAAACAGTGCACGTTGTTGCTTTTTTTTGTGCACCGGGCATATAATGAAGGTATGAAGTATTGTAGCTCTTTTGTTTTATAAATCTGTATTTTTAACAGTTCATTGGTGAATACATTTCCTGTAACAGGAAAAAAATGCTTTTAATATGTATAGTTTAAAGAAATGTATCTGGAATAAATCTTGTAAAAAAGATAGGCAATTCCTTTCATTGTTAGTGCATATTGTCAAGATACACGCATTTGCCTTTTATTTTAAACTCTGACGTGTTGTGCAGTCATTTCCTATCATGCTGTACTTTTTATCTCTGTAGGTAACTGGGGTTCTGTTCTTGTTGTTTCACCAAACTTGAATGTGCTGAAGTGGGAGATTTGAACTGAAATGCTTGTGTCCTGCTTTGAAAATTCTTCTGCATCTTGGAAACCCATGAGAACTTTTTTGAAGAAGACAGGTATTGTGGAACAATGTACTGGGTAGCATAAATATTACACAAGGAAAATATCAGCCCAAGTTATGATTATACCATTGTGATTAAAAACTTCAGCATAGTCATATCACAACCTGTTTCTTTTTTGTTATGAGCATACTGGAAAAATTAAGCTATTTTCTTATTTCATAAGTACTGGTTCATAAGCAGTGTTTGATATTCCCCAATAAAAGTTGCTTTGCTGACCAGCAATTCTCAATCTAATCCTAGAGGAGGAAACAATAATCTCTGCTATTAAAGCCATCAAAGAAAGCCCTTAGGATTTTGTGGTTTTACATTGCAGGAATGGACTAACCCCAACACCTTTTTCCTGCAAGCAATTCTTTAAAGACTGTGAAGCATTCATGAAAGTACAATGCAGGTACCTAGTTTTAGATGAAAGGCAGAATGGTAACAATCTGACACAGGAGTGCTGGGATGCAATATTCAATCTCCAGAGGTCTGAAGCATTCATTCAAATTCTTCTTGTTGCTTTTGTCCATCAGTTACTTTCTGGAACAACTGCAGTGTTTAAAATGACAGGGTTTATTTTTTTCTTTGCTGTGATCTAATTAAGTTATGAAATAGATCTTATCTTAATTATTATTTTAATTATCTGCAGTCATCATTGTTTACTCTTGATGGATATGCTTCTGCCTACTGCCTTAAAAGATTTGTGGGCCATTGCCAGTTTCCTGATTTCAAGGATTTCCCAAATCTATCTGGATTTTATGAAAGTAGCATCTGTGGAGGGGAATAAAGATCATTACCAGAGAGTTGCAGAGTACATCTCCCTTGAGGATAGTATCTTAACTCTAGGATCTTTCTCTGAGGAAATAAAACTAGGAAATCATTGCATTCTATTCTTTTAGATAATGCAGTCATTCATTTTGCAGAGGTCCAAAATTCACGTTGAGAAGCCGTTATCAGAGAAATATTACCATGTGCTTACATGTACTCTTTCTGATCAGCAAAAGTCAATGTATGAAGACATCTTGTCTCAACCAAGGTCCATCTGTTGAGGAGCTCTTAATTGAAGAAGCATAAATAGTAATTGAAGATTATGGGCTATATATGGGACAAAGTATTTATAACTTGGGCAATTCATCATGCATCACAGGTTTTGTCTAAATTTAGTTCTTAAGTTATTTAGGAACTGCATATCCTAGGTTATATTGTTACATTGCTTTTCTGATATGTCTAGTTTGTATTTCCAAGTGAAATTGATATTTTAAAGTGATATTTATTCAGGCATTTTGAAAAAAGACCTCAATATTGACACTGTGTTTCATATACTATCTGATGTAATTTCAGTTTGAAACAGAGTGGCTATTTGAGAAATGTGAGATTTAAAATCAGAATATATTTGGTAAATTATTAAATGTCTGTGTGAATGGGAGAGAAGCTGGAGGAGTGGAAGACTGCATTTTTAAACATACTTTTCTATGTTTGATAACTTGGTGTTATCAGATTTATTCAGAAAAACAAAGCGAGTGTCCAGAAATACTTAAGCTCCTAAAAAGCACTGTTTTTTTTAAGATAATTTAAATTACATTCTCATTTTAAATAACAGAACTCAAGAATATCTCAGAAGTGGGCACTTCATCAGCGTCCTCCATGTTCTGACGCAGATGCTCAAGGTGTGTAATCATCCTGATCCGTTAAGTCCTTGGCTTCCAAGTTCTTCCTGTGTATTAGACATGCTGGAGTTTACAATTGCTTCTCTATTGCTGAATGCATTAGAATGGAATCTTTGGAAGGTGAGTAGGGAAGTAATTCTCTTGTGCTTGAATTGACTGGCAGAGCTGGGGGCTTAGGACATAAAACTTCTTACACATAATTTAGGTTCCAATTAAATATTTAACTCTGCATTTATTTTCAGAAGCAACTACTAAGATTATGTATAATAACCGCTGACTTTATGGTAGTACTGGATTTAGCAGGTGTGCTGAGAATGTGCTATACTCATAGAAGGTCAGGCTGTTTTGCAACATTTTCTGGTTTTGCTTTAAGTTCCCAATTAACCTAAACTGATGGGTCTTGAAATCAAGGGACAGATGTCATTTTTATCCTGTCCTGAGGAGTAGTAAGGGCATAGTTAAACTGTGTACAGCTCTGCAGATGAGAGGCTGTCAGATTCCACAATTCAGTTTCAACTATAGCATGTTAAAGTTACATTGCAAGGGGTTTAACCTGTTTTGTCCTAGTGATTCCAGCCATACTACAGGTTTAAGGAAGACTGGACAAAGCTGCAACAGTAGCGTTGTGTGTCCTGGGAACTTCAAATAGCTACTCCTTTGAGCCACTTGGGGAAATCATTTGGGGGTGGGTGGGTAGGGTAAGTGTCCAAGACTTGTGAAGGAAGTAGTGTCAATGTATCGAAGTGGGAATGGATGAGTCTGGAATGTCAGTTCTACAAAGACAAGTACTTCAATCGCAAGCATTGAATTAACTGCAGAGCTTGTAACTTGAGGTGCCATCCTGGTTTAGACTCTCTGGTAACATGAGCATAATGCTCTAATTTCATGGTGTAGGTTGCTGAAACCTTTTAAAGTAACGACAGCTGCTCTCTGCAAAATCACATAACACTTTACAACGCTCTTCCACGTTTTGGTTTGATTCTGGCATCAGCTCTGAGCTTTTTAATTGTTCTCAGATAATGTAGAACTGTTACCTTTCTGAATGGTTGAATTTTTCTTTAGGTTGAGGGGTTTGTTTGTTTGTTTTTTATAACTTAAGCATGCAGATCAGTCTGTCTTTGGTGTGATTGGGATGGAACACCAAACTACTTACAAAGCAAAAATACTGCTGAAACTGAAGATACCCAGGAAGCTTATTGAAGAGATCTGCTGTTCTCCTTCGTCCCCAGTGAAGCTCAAACCAAACAGGTATGCAGGGGTCCAGTAACTGATTTATTTAAGTAACAGGTGAAAGCAAGTAGTATTTATAGACTTCATCCACCAGGTTACTTTCGATTACCTTTAGCAAGTCCTTTATGCTTCCATGCAGATATCTTCTTTATTACTGTTTTTGAGTAGCTAATAGGCCAAGCTGTTTAAAAATTAGTGTATTAAAGTTTTGGTTTGTTTTATAGAGGTCTGTGAGTATTGCTAGCAGTGGCTTTGCTCCTCTGAATTTGTATGTAGTAAATCCTCCTTATACATACACCCATTAAATGGTTATATGTAAAGGTCTTGAAGAAAAAGGTCTTGAAGTTTAACCTAAAGGAACAGATACTTCCCTACTCCATTAAATATAGCAGGTAGCAAGGCCTCATTTTCTACAGTTTCCAGATCCCTGACTGGTGCAGTGCTTTTATACCTGTCTTTTTATACCTGCGGATTTAGGTATAAAAACCCCACTGCCTGTTATAACTGTGTGAATGTGCTTTCTCTAACTGTTGAATGCTATCTGCAGAACCTACAAGTTCTTATTTCATAAACAGGCAAGATGGAAGCTCTGGCTGCCTTGTTTTGGAAGGTGAAATCAAGAGGACATCGTGTATTGGTTTTGGTGCAGATGATTCTAGTGCTTGATTATACTGGAGCTTTTCTTGAACATCCATTTTCTTACATATGTAAGAGTTAATGAGAGTGGTGCTCACAGTTGGCATCATCTGGTAAGAGGACCTCTTGCTCAAGCTAATAGTTAATATATGCTCATAGCAGGAGGGAAAATGGTAAAGGGAAGTTTAATACATTTGCAAAATTAATTTGCATAATTTTATTAGTTATTTAAGCAAATTATGTATGTAGCTGTCACACAAATATGTAATTATATATGAAATATGTCAGTCATACTATTTGATGAGGCATCCGGGGTGCTTCCAAGAGGCATGCCACTAGTTGTCCTACATTTATGAGTAATTTGTGTTTGAAATACAGATGCTTTATTTCACAATATTTCACAATTTCATAATTGCTTTGGCTTTCATTATCTGTACCTATCTACACTGTTAGTACTGTAAGTGTACTTGCTGCTTTTATGTTGGCACTTCCTCAGCCTTACTCCAGGGGCTTTTGCTTTTTGTAGAGCGCCCTGGCATTGCCTGAGGATAAATTGAAAGCATGTTCATTTCCCTCCCCAGTACGATTCTCAGTACCCTCTGGGGCCTACAATTTGAGCAAACATTAACAATATAGTTAATTCATTCTTTTCCCTTTTCTTTTTTTTAATTTCCAATTGCATTGTTATGATTTCTGCCAGATGCAGTAGAAAACATGAAGGAATACTTTGCCTTAAAGCAAAACAAGGCAGCACAATAGAAGGGATTCAATTTAGTCAGTAGACAAGAAAAGCGCCGAAGCACACACAGCATAATAACCCAGTCAGTGTGCATAGTAACTGCAATGGTATTCTCTTGTTTTCCAGTTAGGTAAATGGAAGGAGCCTATTCTCAGTGATATTGGTGTGACATGAGGGGAATGTCAGATTTTTGGTCCTTATATCTCTTTTCTATCTTAATTATGGTGCTGTATTTGCAAGCAAAAGGAATTAAAATTCAGTTTAATTAACTTTACTATGCCCATTAGCCTGTAAAAAGTGTGACTCAGGTCAGTGGCAATGTACCGTTGTTAGCATATTTATTGTGAAAAGTACTAATATTTAAAGTGTACAGATTTTCTTCCTAAAAGGAGCTAAAACCCACAAATGTAAAATGGGAATATCAGCATGCGAAGGAGGTGCAAAATGCTTCAGAAGAAGTGAAAGAGGAACTCTTAACATACACCAGACAAAATGCTTATAGCACATAAGGGATCTCCAAGTCCTTTTTGACAGACATGATAACTTTGTCCTGCCACTTAGCTTCAACTGAGAGAAAGAAGCATTGCCATAGAAGGACAGCTGTTCCTCCACCTTCCCTTTTTGGCCAGATGACTCGAAGAATATTGAAAACAAGACAGAAGAGCAAAGCTCAGAAGACACTCCTCTGGGTAAAACAGAAAACGCGTTTTGTGAGACCTTTGTCAGCTGTCATCAAGTCAGCTGCTGACAGTGGCTAACACTATCCTGCATGGCTAACTGCTGGAGACTTGGCACTGTTCAAAGTAAGATGGGGCTTTGTTTATTTTGGCTTCAAAAACTTTTTACTTCAAAGTTTATGACAGCATGGTTAGACCTCAATTAAGGATTACCCATGCTTGTGCACACAACAGAAGCATTTAATTGAAACGTTACACTGGGGTGATTTCTCTCTGCCTCCTAGGCTACCAAACAGTTACAGGCACTTCCTTGAACCTTGCTATTGTGTTACCAGCAGAGACAGCAAACTAGGACTTTGTCTGCCATGTCTTTAACACTTGTAACTATGTTTATGGCTTCCCCAAGCAATGCCAAAATTGTTACATAAAAGCACTTGCAGATCCAGGAGGAAAGGTGAGTTTGAGATGTGCATTACATTGTGAAGACCGGGGTTTTTCTTTGTTTTGGGGTTTATTTCCTTTATTTTAAATTCCTCATTTCTGTTAGTGTTTGGTAACAACACTTCTGTGGCTGTCTCATTTTTTTTTGGTATTTTAGCAATGTCAGAAGCAGGCAACCCTGCTATATAATAATTTTTTGTCAGGTCAGAATTTTCTGTCACAATTATTGGTACAGACAATTAGGAAATAATTTCAGGATGAATCTTTACATGACTTCATGGTTGTGTTTTTTTTCTACTCAGAATTTAAATAATTCAAAAGAAGCCTATTGCTGTGGTCCCTCCCCTTCCATCTGTTTCTGTTGTCGTAGGTGTTGCCTGAAATAAAATTGGAGCAACAGCCTAGTCAGAAGCAAGAGGAACAATGGAGCAAATCCCAACCCAGTGTCAACCACAGGGGGAAACACAGTAGGCAGAGAAATACGTTCCTCACAGCTAAAAGAATCTGCAAGCATGGATTCATGTACACTTATAGAATCTGTTTTGACTTTGGTGAGGCTGTGTGTAGGACTTTCAGCAAATCTGGAGAACTGGGACACTGAGTAATGGGAGCATTTTCTTTTAACCGAGCTGAGGTGGTGGAATTTAATGTTACTTAAAAAGCAGACTCTTGCTCATGGATATAAGAATACTATTCAAAACTTAATTACAGACAAGCTCTTTCTTAAAGAATCAGGATTTTGGGCTTCATCCCAGAAGGGATTTAATGATGCTGAAAAAGGCATTCCATATATAGACTGGAACAAATGTCATTTTATGATACTAATATAATGGTACTTTTCCAGTGTGTGTATCTCACTCATTGGAAAAATTCCGTAAAACTTCACGTCCTCTTTTGTGAACCCTTTGGAATACATGTAAATGTTAAGAATACACTGTGTTTGATGACACTTCCAGGCCTTGGGACATAGAGTATCTCCAGCCATAACTGTTTTACCACAACTGTCCCTGGTCCCAGCACACCTGGAGCCCACAACCCCTGGCCTGTTTCTTCAAGCAGTAGCAGTTGACAGAACCATCGATCCAAGGACAACTGTGCAGATGCCTTTGATGACTCCACTCATATCAGGTAACCTTTTACTTGTAGTTTTACATTCACATTTTGCTATTGAAAATAAATTCTTAAATATTTACTAGTGTTGCTTACTTTAAAATTTACTGAAAATAAGTGAAAATGATGGGGGAATAGTCTTTTACTAAATCCTCTACTCTTAAGAAAATAGTGTATCCCCAGATGTTGTATTACTTATGTGTAATTGATTTTAGAATCATAGAGTAGTTAGGTTTGGAAAGGACCTTAAGGTCATCCAATCCCCTGCCATGGCCAGGGACACCTCACATTAAACCATGTCACCCAAGGCTCTGTCCAGTCCAGCCTTGAACACTGCCAGGGATGGAGCATTCACAACTTCCCTGGGCAACCCATTCCAGTGCCTCACCACCCTAACAGGAAAGAATTTCTTCCTTATATCCAATCTAAACTTCCTCTGTTTAAGTTTTAACCCATTACCCCTTGTCCTGTCACTACAGTCCCTAATGAAGAGTCCCTCCCCAGCATCCCTATAGGCAGATACTGGAAGGCTGCTATGAGGTCTCCACGCAGCCTCCTCCAGGCTGAACAGCTCCAACTTTCTCAGCCTAACTTCTACATAGAATTTTAAACACTCTCATCTTTGCATAGTGTCACCTATTTTCCATTTTATCTTAGACAGTTTGATCTCTGTACTTTGAGCTCCTAACAAATATTCACCTAAAATTTCATTTTAGATTTAGTTACCAGGAGTTCCAAGGACCAGTCCTGATCCTCAGACAACAGTAACTTCTTTGGCAGCGATGAACTTGGTGTAGAAGTTACTCTGATGCCCAACCGCTAGTGTACGTCAACCCCTGGAAAGCAGTGCTTGCGTACAGCCTGGATTCAGCCCACATCACTTCTTCAGTTGTGGTGTTAAGAACAGTGAGATGCTTGGTTTTAAACGGGAACTGCGTGTCACTACTGAGCAGGTGCAAACTGTATTTTCTTTATTGCTGAACTATTCTGCAATTGTTGGTTTAGGTTTTTTTTTCAGTATTTATTGTAATTAAGAGTAGCACTAAGCTACTTTTTTTTTCCCTTCTGCATTCCTCCCTTTGCACTGTGTGAGGATTTCCCTGCCTGTGCTCCAGGTGAGCAATCTATTGTTCATCTTTTAGATAAATTTTCTCTGTGTATGTTTAAAACTAGATCTTGCAGAAGAGGGGCAGCGCTGTTACCTGCGCAGGCAGCAATTACTCTCTTCCAATGGTCATTACACTCCCATTTCCGCACTGCAATAAAAGTTAGCTTTCTGCCCTTGTCCCCGAGCCTCGTTCCTCCATGTGCTGAGCCCCATTTCCCGCCGAGGCCATACTCCCTGTCGCGACATGGACCACGGCCGACAGCGGCGCGGGGGCCGATCAGCACCGTGGCGAGCCGTGCAGCTGCGCGCATGCGCTGGGTGCTGCGCAGGCGCTGAGCGCGGCGGGCGGGCGGCGGCGCAGGCGCGGTGCGGGAGCGGGACGCAGGAGGCGCGGTTTGTCTCCTGCCGGCGCTGGTAGCGGCTGCGGCTCCGGCCGCCCCCCGCCCCCGCTTCCTGCCAGGAGCGAATGGAAACTCTGGCCCCGGCGCCCGCGGTAAGTGGGGCCCGCGGGCGCGGAGGGGCAGGGGGGCGGCCGGGCCCCGCTCCTAACACACCCCCCCACCCCATTCTCCGGCCCCGCACAGGCCTCGGGCCCGAGGCCCGGCGGCACCGGTCCCGGCAGCGGGGGGGCGGCTGCGGAGGAACGGGCCTTCCTCGCGCCGCCGCTGGGGTGGGCGGGCAGGGCCGGCCGCGTCCTGGCGGGGGTGTGGTGGTGCCGCCCGGGGCGCTGGGGGCCGCTCTCGGCGGAAGAAGCCCCTCGCCAACTTGGGGCGCCGGCCCGCGGCGGGGCTGGGTGCGCTGGGCCGGGTTGCGCCGCGCTGGGCCCGGGCGGGCCCCCGGCCGATCGCTTAGTTCAGTTGTGGCACACAAAAGGCGATCCCTGCTCCCCGTGCAGGCGGCGGCCGGCAGAGCGCTTCCTTATCAGCGTGTAATTAATTAAGTGTTTTCATTCGGGCAGTAAACGTTAGCGAGGTATAGGTAATTAAAATAATAAGACCTTGTTCCCGGCGATAGCTGGTATCGTTTGAATCTTAATTATTTGGTATTAGTGCCGTGAAAGAGTCACAGTGCCACGAAGTATTGCAGTGTTATTAAATCTCTTGGAAAAGGTGCCTGTGAGGAGTGGAATCTCTTTTTCCCTTCCCGCTCTGCTGAGGTTTGAGATCCGAGGAGCGGGAGCGGCAGAGCCCGCCCAGAGCTGTGTGTTAGTCCGTGTGCAGGCTGCGCCCCGAGCTACCTCTCTGGTACCCATGTATGGGGTCTTTCCTCTTCGCTAGCACGTGTGAGACAGTGCTGCTCTGCTTTCACTCTTTCCCGTGGGCAAGGGAATGAATCTCTCCATCCTCAGGGCTTGAGTAGATGGAACTACTAGTAGATGCATATAGCCCAGGAGAGGGAAGCGGAGGAGTTGTGTGTGTTCGCTGCCACAGCAGCAGCAGTCGAGGAGTTGAGGCAGTCACCGCTGCACCGCGTCCCTTCCCAGCCGTGTGTTGCCACTTGTAACCAACTTGGAGTAAGGAGCAAAGACGAATGGCGGAGTACTTGTATGTGTGTTTGCCCTGAAATACCGAAAGTGAAACCCGTGTTTTCAAAATACAAGAGAGATCTTGAACAAACAAAAATCGCGTTTCATTTTCCTTTTTTCTGCTATGTGACACCCAGCGCTGAATGTACCTGTCAGCTCATGTCAGTGGAGTTTTTGTTTGTGAGCGATTAAAATGCAAAACCAGAGCGTTTTTTGATTTGGGGATAGCCTGGCTCAATAAACGGCATTCTAAATGAAATGCAGGTTTGCATTAATTTTCATCTCTTTAAGGGGGTAGTGTTCTTGAAGGAAAGAGAAGGCTGATTTAAATATCAAGTACAATGCTTTTTCAGACATCTTGGTGATTTGAAGATTTTTCATGATGCATTTTTTCTTCAGTAGCTAGAGGGATGAAGTTGAGTAGTCTGTGTCCGTTTTAATGGACAAGTGTTTTTAGTTATTGATGAAGAAACATAGTACATTTTAAGCAACTGTTGCGTATTCAGAAACATTGTGTTAAGTGTTAAAAGTACTGGAACATTTGGAATAATGAATGCAAAAAAGAGATACTTTTGATGGCGGAGACTGTTGATTCTGCAACTTCCACAGAACATATAATTTGTAAAGCTCTTCAATAGCTCTTTTTTTTAGGTAAAGATACATGTGAGGGATTTAAGTGAGCTTTGTGGTGCTGAGGGTTTTGGAGAAATTGAGTACGTATTTAAGCAACTGCCAAGACAGGATAGCCAAGTTCTAACAATAAGATACTCTTTAAATAGTAACTACAGAGTTTCAGTTGCAGAAATACTTTTACCTTCCCTGAATTTCTGTTTTTGTTGTATTTCTTTAGTGTATACTGTAAGAAACATCTAGAGCAGTGAGAATGCACCATGGTAATGGCCCTCAGAATGCCCAGCGCCAGCTCCAGAGATCCAGGTCCTTCACAGGCAGTGAGGGAGAAGAGCAACAGCCAAACCTACCCCAATCCCCTGCAGCTTCTTTTGCACCTTCTGCAAGTCCATCTGCACCCCAGTCCCCCAGTTACCAAATACAGCAGTTTATAATGAGCCGAAGTCCAGTGGCTGGGCAGAATGTGAACATCACGCTGCAGAACGTTGGACCGGTGGCTTCAGGAAACCAGCAGATAACACTCACCCCATTGCCAATTCCAAACCCAACATCGCCCAGTTTTCAGTTCAGTCCTCAGCAGAGGCGGTTTGAGCATGGGTCTCCCTCTTACATTCAAGTCACTTCACCGCTGCCTCAACAAGTTCAGTCTCAAAGTCCTACACAGCCTAACCCTGTGCCAGTGCAGACCTTACCAAGTGTTCGGGCAGGCACTCCAGGCTCTGGCTTGGGAATGTGCAGCCAGAGCCCCACAAGAGGATTTGTGGATGCTAGCGTGCTTGTGAGACAAATCAGCTTGAGTCCTTCCAATGGCGGACACTTTGTGTATCAGGAAGGACCAGGAATTGCACAGATTGCTCAAGGAGCTGCTGCACAGGTACAGCTTCCATCTTCTGGGACACCCGCTACGGTAAGGGAACGAAGGCTTTCACAGCCTCATTCGCAGTCTGGTGGCACCATCCATCATCTCGGTCCTCAAAGCCCTGTAGCTAGCGGAGCAAACATGCAATCTTTGACTAGCCCGGGCCATATTACAACGACCAGCTTGCCACCCCAAATCAGCAATATCATCCAAGGGCAACTGATGCAGCAGCAGCAGCAAGTGCTTCAAGGACAGCAGCTGGGTAGACCCATTGGATATGACAGGACTTCTGGTGGCTTGATAGCAGGAGTTGGAGGACCTAGTGCATTTGGAATGACATCACCACCTCCTCCCACAAGTCCTTCCCGGGCCACTGTACCACAAGGGCTGTCGAGTCTTCCTCTTACTCCTACAGTTAACACGGCAGTGAAAAAACAACCCAAAAAATTGGAGGAGATTCCTCCTGCCAACCAAGAGACTGCTCAAATGAGAAAACAATGTTTGGATCATCACCACAAACAGATGGAAATTCTTAAGGAAACTTTTAAGGAATGTTTGATTGAACTGTTTTTCTTGCAACATCTTCAAGGGAATATGATGGACTTTTTGGCTTTTAAGAAGAAACATTGTGTTCCACTGCAAGCATACCTGAGGCAAAATGACTTGGATCTGGAGGAGGAAGAAGAGGAAGAACAATCTGAGGTCATCAATGATGAGGTAAGAAAACCGTTAAACTTATTATTTGGGCGGAGTCTTGGGTGATATGGTTTGGTGTGAGATGTCCCTGCCCATGGCAGGGGGTTGGAACTAGATGGTCTTAAGGTCCTTTCCGACCCTAACTATTGTATGATTCTATGAAGCTGTGGCACCAGGATTGTGGAGTACTGGAGAATGTGACAGTACCTGAAAAGTCGTTTGTACTTGATGAAGTACGGCACTTTTTCTTTAAATAGCTGTTCTGAGAGGATGCAGCTCTGCTGGTTAGTGTGAACAAACGGGTTGGCTTGAGCATGCTGTTAGCTACATGTGTTTAAAAGGAACAGGATAGAGAGGTGAAATGAGCTTTTGCTGTCCTAGTTAGTATGTAAACCACCACATAAATAAAAAATGGCATTGGTGTGGAAGCTGTTTTAAGCTATCGGAATGAGTATGAGTAGGAATCCTAGATTAAATTTCACTTACTAGAGCTGCATAAACCGGAAAAGAATGCAGAGTCTTGTAAGAGGTTAACCTTTGAGTCATGTGACTTGTAACCATAGATGTTACTGAAGTTCAGCGTTGCTGTAGCCAACAAAGACCTGAATTAATCTAATTACATAGAGAACATGTGAATCACGATGTATATAGGTCCATAGTAATGAATCAGGTTACTTTGTCTTAGAGCTTTGTGCAGTCTAACTGATCAAACAAACAGCACTTACAGACAAGTTAACGTTGTTATTTATGCAAAGGTTTAAAATTACTAAGTTGAATTCACTGTTTATTAATGGCAAAGGGCTTGAAATAAGCTTACCACAGACAGATGCTGTGCAGCTTCTACATGTTTGTACCCATTCGCATAGCTCTTGCCTGCAACACCCTGCCGATGCTGGAGCGGTGCTTGTCTTGTGCAGAGCCTACCTGCAAGCCTACATGGCAAGCAGTTGCAACAGGGTG